TTAAAAAAAAAAAAAAAAAAAAAAAGAAAGAAAAGAACTGATCAGGGGCGCCTGGGTGGCTTAGTCGGTTAAGCGTCCAACTTTCGCTTAGGTCATGATCTCGCAGTTAGTGGGTTCGGGCCCCGCATCGGGCTCTGTGCTGACTGCCAGCTCAGAGCCTGGAGCCTGTTTCGGTCTGTGACTCTCTCTCTCTCTGACCCTCCCCTGCTCACGCTGTCTCTCTCTCTCTCTCTCCTAGAAATAAATTAAAAAAACATTAAAAAATTTAAAAAAAAAAAAGAAAAGAACTGGTCAAGGGGTGCCTGATGGCTTAGTAGGCTGAGCGTCTGACTTCAGCGCAGCTGGTGATCTCACGGTTTGTGGGTTTGCGCCCCCCACAGGCTATCTGCTGTCACACAGAGCCTGCCTCCGATCCTCTGCTCCTCTCTCCCTGCCCCTCCTGCCCCAGTTCTCTCTCTCAAAAATTATAAAATAAACATTTTTAAGAAAATCTTCTAAGAGAACTGGTCTAGTTCATGAACTTGGTCCTGTCTTTGACACACACACCTCCCATCAGGATAGCAGACATGTCGTTCTGCATTACTGCCCACTGAATCCCCGGGGCCAGAAGAGCGTCTAATAATAGCAGGCACTCTATCAATATTTGATGAATTAACGAAAATAAGGACGTGAATTCCCTCCACACATCACCAAACAAGCTCTCTCTGTGCCAAGTGGCAAACAGGGCACAGCCCAGGGGGCCATCAGCCCTGCAGGGGAGAGAAAACCGGTCAACAAGCACCCACAGATCCCACGGCTTTTCCAGGGGCCTGAGGCAGACCTGGAGCGAGCGGATTTCTGCTGAGCGAGAGAACACCTCGGGGATGTCTCACAACCCCAGGAGGACAGAACTTTGCCAAAAAGCCTTTCACATCCCGGAGTTGTGACGACACCCAGTTACAGCCAGCACAGCCCTTGGGGAGAAACCAGAGGGCAGAACTTCCATTCGTAGAGTCATTGCACTTCTCTGGGTCCAGCCATAAAAACAGACAGACAGACAGACAGACAGGAGCCCTCTGTGTCCCCATCCCCACTACCCCCAAACACTCTGGTCACTATCACTTCCAACAAGGCCAGGATTCTAAGGGCATCTGGACTCCTTTTCAGCCAGTCTTTTTGGAAAGGAAAAAGTGCTACCCTTCAAGAAAATAATAACTAGTAGCGTCAATGAGGACTTCCGCACCGCTGGGTGGGCACCATCTACCCCCACACCCCACTGGGAGACAGTGCCAGGGTCCACACCAACTACTCGGCACTGCTGGTAACCCCGGGGGGGTGGGGCACAAAGCAAGACCAACCTTTTTGTGTCACCCCAAACCAGCACTGCAATGTGCTCATTAAATCTTTTCCTGAACAAAGAACCTCCCTGCGAACCCTAAACTGCTTACAATAGGATTCTTTCACTTCTAGAACGAATGCCCTGGGATGCCCCAGCTACTCTACGGGGTGCATGGCTATCTACACACACACACACACACACACACACACACTACTCTAAGGGGTGCATGGCTATCTACACACACACACCACTCTACGGGGTGCATGGCTATCTACACACACACACACACACACACACACCACCTACGGGGTGCATGGCTATCTACACACACACACCACTCTACGGGGTGCATGGCTATCTACACACACACACACACATACACACACACCACCCCCGCACTCCCTTTGAGTGATGGGGAAACAGGGAGGGGCAACGCCTAGGTCCAGTCCCTCAGAGAAGGGCAAGCAGGGCGGGGGACCCGAATCTGTCTCCTAACCAGAGCGGTCGCCACAGGTACACCGCGCCCTGCAGAAGATGCCAAGAGAAACAATACAGGCTGCAAATGGATGGGAAAAGCCCAGAAACGATGAAATGCTGGGAATAACCGATATTCACAACAATGCGATTACAACGAGCGGGAAGCACAGGAAAGTCACGGGAACCCGGAGGCAAAACGGGGGCACAGTGATCAGCGCAGCTTTCCCGTGGGGCCGGGGGGCCGGCAAGCAGCACCTAAACCGCACGGTCGCGGCCGCGTAGACCTGGGCGTCCACTCGCGCTCGCGCATGCGCACCCGCCCACCCAGCAGCGGCCACACCCTCGCCCGGGATGGCGGCGGCCTCGGCGGCGGGACCTCACCTGTGGGCGCAGAGCGCCGAGCAGCGCCGAGCAGGCCGGCCCCGCCCCCAGCCCCTCTCCCGCGCTGCCCGGAGGACGCCGCTCGCCGCCCCGCGGACCGGCCCGCCGCGCGCCGGGCTCTACTTCCGGGGCGGTGCTCTGGCAACCGAGGACGCGGCCGCTGGCGCCGCGACTGCTTCCGGGGTCACGCTTTCCCGACTGGTACCTAGGCCCCCCGCCGGCCCGCGCGCCCGGCGCGCGTCCTGGCACATCCTGGAAAGAGCCGGCCGTCGATCCCCGGGAACCTCGCAGCCTTCAAGGCCCAGAGCTGCGGTTGAGAAGGGTCGGGGCGCGAAGTGGAGCCCGACAGCGGGAGGTCCCCTCTGCTGCTCAGCTTCCGTGTCTGTAAGGTTGGAGCCGTCGGCAGTGCCTGCTTTGTCGAGTGTGTTGTCCTTAGGCGACGTGTTGTGCTCAGCACGTAATAATCAGTACGGGGCCAACTCAGAGGTCGCCGCATTTGTTAAATGTCCCCCGAGCGTGGCACAGGTCTAGTCTCTCCAACTGTGTTTTGTAAACTCTCTGAGGCAGCGTGGCCCAGTGAGAAATTTAATACTAGAGGGGCGACTGGGTGGCTCGGTCGGTTAAGCGTCCGACTTCGGCTCAGGTCATGATCTCAGGGTTCGTGGGTTCGAGCCCCGCGTCGGGCTCTGTGCTGACAGCTCAGAGCCTGGAGTCGGCTTCCGATTCTGTGTCTCCCTCTCTCTCTCTCTGACCCTCCCCTGTTCACACTGTCTCTATCTCAGAAATAAATTTTTAAAAAACATTTTTAAAAAATTAATCTAGAGCCAGACCTGGATTGAATCCTCGCTCCAAAATCCGCTAGTTTATGTGGCTTTCGGCAGGTCACTTCCCTTATCTGACTGTCAGTGCAGAGCCTGCTCAGAATTCTCTCCCTCCGTCTCTGCTCCTCTTCCGCTCCCATGTGTGTGCTCTATCTCAATAAATAAATAAATTAATTAATTAATAATAATGAAAAGAAAACGTGTGCATCATATATGACAAAGCATTAGTTAACATCCACAGTATACAAAAAGTGCACAAATCAATAAAAAAATTTTAATTTGGAGGAAGAGCAGGAACCACAAATTACATAACAAAAGATAAACAAAATAGTAAAAAAAAATGTGAAAAGATGCTCACATTGCTAAAAAATTAATGCTACTGAGGGGCACCTGGATGGTTCAGTGGGTTAGGCATCCGTCTGCGGCTCAGGTCATGATCTTATGGCTCGTCAGTTCAAGCCCCAAGTTGGGCTCTGTGCTGACAGCTCAGAGCCTGGAACCTGTTTTAGATTCTGTGTGCCTCTCTCTCTGCTCCTCCCCCACTCATGCCCTGTCTCTGTCTCTCAAAAACAAACATTAAAAATAATTTATAAAGAAAATTAATGATACTGAATTTTCTAATGAGGTATTTTTTGCTGACTAAATGCAAACATTTAAAATATAGTTACAGCTAAGGGGTGCCTGGCTGGCTGAATCTGTAGAGCAGGCAACTCTTGACCTCAGAGTCGTAAGTTTGAACCCCATGCGTGCGTGGCATAGAGTTTACTTAAAATGAAAAACTTTTAAAACTCATCAAAATATAGTTACAACGAATGTTAGAAAGGATATGGAAAAAAAGGCACTTGCACTTGCTATTGGTAGAGGTACAGCTTTTGGAAGGGTGGCAATTTGGCAATAGTCATCAAATTTTTAACATGCAATATATTTAATTAAATTAACCTTTGACCTAAAACCTCCAGTTGTAGGAATTTATAGAAACTCCCAAGTAAGCAGATAGATGTGTACAAGAGCATTTAATGACGTATTATTTCTAATAATGAAAAATTGGAAAGTATAAATGTTTAGTAGCAGAAGTCTGGTTGGCTAAATTAAAGGTCATCAATTTAGGGGCGCCTGGGTGGCTCTGTCGGTGAAGTGTCTGACTTGATTTAGGCTCAGGTCATGATCTCACCATTCATGAGTTCGAGCTCTCATAAATAAACATTAAAAATTTTTTTAAATAAGTAAACAGGTTTTTAAAAATAAAAAAATAAAGTTCATCAATTTAATGAAATAGTATTTACATATTCAAAGGTGTAAGGTGGATTTATGTATGCTAACCTGGAAATATATACATGATACAGTACATAAAAAGGGCAAATTACACAACTGTTCATATAACATGGCTTTTAAGATTTGTACACATGGGGCACCTGGCTGGCTCAGTTGGTAAAACATGCAGCTCTTGATCTCAGGGTCATGAGCTCAAGCCCAACGTGGGGGTAGACATTACTTTAAAAATAAGTAAAAAGAATTAAAATTTGTATGTGTAAGCATTACATATGATTTAGGAAGCATAAAAATCTGGGGGGGGGAAATAATGTTTGGAGTCTTTCTCTTTGGAAGTTGGAATAGTAGGTACTTTCTCTTTTTACAGCCTATATCTTTTTTTTAAATGTTTATTTATCTTTGAGACACACACACACACACACACACACACACAGTGTGAGTGGGGGAGGGACAGAGAGAGAGTGAGACACAATTCAAAGCAGACTCCAGGCTCTGAGCTGTCAGCGCAAAGCCCCACACTGGGCTCGAACTCACAAACTGTGAGATCATGACCTGAGCCGAAGTTGAGACACTCAACCTGAGCCACCCAGGCACCCCCAGCCTATATCTTTCATTGTCTGGATTTCGTTAGCACAAAAATACTGTTTTGTAATTTGTTTAAAGCTACAATAAAAGTTAAAGAAACAAACTTTTTTTCAATTTTGAAACGGCTGTCTGAACATATATATTTCCCTTCACACCCTAAAATCTCACTGAAAAACCAGAAGAAATGGAAAAATACAGTTGAAGATGAATCATTCCGAATTCTAAATACCAAAGGCATCCAAACAGAAGAATTACTCTACCAGGTTTTGTCTTGAGATCATCTGCTTCTCAGTCATGCCCCTGGGGTTGCGGAGCCTCACTCACCGCATCCCATTGACACTGGGGCTGGTAGGTTCCAGCAGGCGGGGCAAGATTCATTGCCCACATCAGGTGGTCCCCGTGGCAGAGTGACGACAAGAGATATCACATGGTGATGTCACAACACAGGTTCTGACAAATCCCAGTTTGTATGTTTTGGAAGGATAAGAATTGTATAAAGTATCAAGTGGAAAGTGTGCAAACGTACACGCATTGGTTGTTAAGTTCAAGGACGTGACTCTCTTTAGGTGCTACGATATTAGAGTTTCAGAAATAGTCTTTACCCAGCACGGATCCGTTTCCGGAGCTGGTTCTCTGCATAAATGACCACCTGCTATAAATCTGTGACATGGTTGGAAAACTGGAAGAGATACTCCCGACAGACAAAACAGTGAGGAATTCCTGGAAGATGAGGTAAAGACCCATGAATGGGGACAAGCCCGGTAAAACGGGGACAAATGCTCCCCACCAAGCAGAAGAGAGAAGCTCCAAAAAAGGTGCATTTTCTGAACAAAACCCTGGCACAATCTGAGACAAGAAGCAAGAGGGAAGGTGACAAAATACACATGGGGACAGTTGGCCAGAAAGTTAATTAACGGAGTGACTGGGTCTCTGGTCTGTCTCCCTTGAGAGCAAACAGTCTCGCTTTTCAGCTGCAATGCCCGAGACTGCCTTAGATTGCTCACACCGCCCTCACAGATCCCCAGAGACTGGTTGCCTTTCACACACCACAGACTTATTTCTCAAAGTTCTAGAAGCTGGGGAAGTCCAGGATCAAGGCACAAGCATGTTTCGTGTCTGCTGGGAACCCACTTCCTGGTTCACAGACCATCTCCCCCTGTCCTCACAGGACAGAAGAGGTGACGGAGCTTTCTGAGGTCTCTCTCTCTCTCTCTCTTTTTTTTTTTATGGCCACTAATCGCATTCATGAGGACTCTACCCTGGTGCCGCTAATCATTCCCCAATATCCCCCTCCTAGAATCACAGCACCTGAATTAAGGCGGGGGATGTAAACAGTCCACTGCCCCATGAAAATAAATAGTTCATGAAAGAGAGCGTTCAGATGAAAATCTTAAAGGTAACAACAATGGCACACAATTCAGCAAAAGGAGAACTGAGCTCCAAGAAACAGAGTTAATACAGTTAATCCCCTAGGTCAGGAGACACCAAACCACTGGCCACATCCAGCCCGCCACCTGATTTTTAACAGCTGGAGAAAGCTAAGGATGGTGTATGCCCATGACCATTTGCAGTCAATCGGGTGATGGGGAACACGCTAACTTGGGAGCCCAATTAAGTGAAATTCATCCCCGCTCCTCCTCCCAAGAAAGAATTCCCTCCTCCTCATTAGGAGACCCATATTACAAAAATATATGTATATTCTCAATTATGGTTTTAACTTCAGTTCAAAAGCTGTGAAAATTTGTGGAATTTGTAAGTGGCAGAGCCTGGACTTGAACCCCAGAAGCCTGTCCATTCACACCAGTGCCTCCCCAGAACATGAAGAGCCGCCTTCTGGAGAAGACAGGTGTGTTTTCTAGGTGGTGCTCTGAGCTTTGCTTAGGGGCCTTCCCGAAACTTCCCCACAAGTCTGTCCAAGGTCCATCACCATTGCCATTCAGCGCCACCTGGTGGAACCACCACTAACCGGAGCCTGACTGGCTGAGTTCGCACTCTCTTCTGCCCCCATCTCTCCGGGGCTGGTCTCTCCGGGGCTCCAGGCCTCGGTGTTGTCACCTTAAACCAAGGAGGGGAATGAGAACAGGAAGACCACGTAGGTGAGGCTTTCTGGCCTCGCACTGCTGGCTCATAACTGTTCAATAAGCTCATCCTGGCTGAGATGCACCTGCAATGGCTGGTTTCCAAGGTGGGTTCCAAGGGACACTTGAAATATTGACTTGGGCAGGGTTAGGGCCACTTCTCGGGACGATCTGGACCCAGCCCTTCCCAGCACCTGCTCTCTGTGGCCCTCCCCCCTCTCCGCAGGTGACCCCACGGCTCCTCTGCCCCCACCATCCATGTCCCCTCCACTGAGCTCTTCCTGCACAGAACTGGGGACAAAGTCTGTCCAGGCGTCCTTTTTACTAAGAACCAC